ATAACCATGGATAGAAAGGGTGCTAACACCTTCCCTTTATATAAATCTACCTCCCGAACCGAGAATTAATCTCAATAAGGAATTTTTCTGTACTTTTGTCCTTTCCATGTTGGAGAAAATAAAAGACGGTGGCGACTCTTGCTTCCGCGACATTTCGCGAACCAGCGTTAAACAGTCAGTTCCAGATCCACCGATCACAGTGACGAACTATTTTAGGTTTGTTCACTTTCTCTTTGGATGATTGATCACTAGCCTTAACAAAGATAGTTTTGTTAGAACTTGGTTTTGAAAACTTTGAATATCCAAGTCCACTTTTATCATTGGAGTATCTTTGTTGGCTAAGAACACCTTCCAATCCAATTTGGCATTTTTCATATCTTTCAATGACTCTTTTTAATTGGACAATTTGGAAAGAGAGTGAATCACAATTTTTGCATACAAAATTTTGTTTTTGTTCATCACTTGATTTTTGTTTTTCTTCTTTGAAGTCTTTTTCCATCGAAACATATTTTTCTTCTAAGGATGAAATTTGTTTCTTTTGTGATGAAATGGTTTTATACAGAATTTTGCATTCATTCAATAGTCCATCTATAGCACCTTGTGCATCACTATCAAAAAGAGAAAATTCATTACTAACCTCATTGTCTTCATCATCAGAGTGGTGTGAGGCCATCAATGCTAGATTTGCACTTTCATCACTATCGGAATCGGATGAGGAACTTATTTCATTGTCCTCCCATGCGACATAAGCCTTTTTGTTCTTGAATCCCTTCTTGCTTTTGAAGCCACCTTTCTTGGAGAGTTTTGGACAATCCGGCTTGATATGACCTTGCTTACCACATTCATAACATGTGATTCTTGTATTGATGTGGATGCTTCCTTTTTCTTAAATTGTTTCTTTCCTTTTGAATGAGAAAAAGGTTTGTCATTTCTACCGAAGAACTTACCAAGCCTTTTAACAAGAAGCATGAAGTTTTCATCTTCTTCTGGATTGTCTTCCTTTTCAAATTCCTTGGAGTCTATCTTCAAAGCAATATTCTTGGATTTCTTCTCTTGATTTTTATGTTTTTCAAGTCTTCCGAGTTCCGTTTCGTATTCTTGAAGTTTTCCAAATAATGTTACGGATGTCATGTTGGAGAGACTTTTCTTTTCTGAAATTTCCGTTACCTTTGGTTGTCATTCCCTAGTTAAGGACCTAAGTACTTTTAGATTTAATTCATCATTCATCAAAGTTTTACCAAGAGCACTTAGATGATTTGTCAAGTGCACAAATCTCTTTTGTAAGTCAAGAATGGTTTCTCCGAGCTGCATTCGAAATAATTTGTATTCTTGACTTAGGGTATTTAGTCTTGATCTTTTTACTTCAACCATTCCTTCATGAGTTTGTACCAAGGTATCCCATATTTATTTTGCTGTTTTGTATGCCGAGACACAGAAGAATTCGTCCATGCTAAGTGCACTTTGAAGAAGGTTTATTGTCTTTTTATCATAGAGAACTTTCTTCTTATCATCATCGTCCCATGCAGTTTTAGACTTTGATGAGCCAACACCATTTATTACTATTATAGGGATAAATGGACCATTTTCGACGACATCCCATATTTTTTCTCCTTGTGCTTCTAGATGTGCCTTCATGCGTATTTTCCAGAAGTCAAAATATTCACCACAAAATAGAGGAGACTTGTTGTTACTACCACCATCTCTGAAAATGGGATTTTGATTTGCGGAAGCCATTCTGGATCTTTTAGGAACAGGTTACCTATAACCTGCTCTGATGTCAATTATAAGTACGAAGTGCGCCTAAGAGGGGGGGTGAATTAGGTACTTTAAAAAATTCTGGTTTTTAGTGATGATGGTTCTTATTTTTCTGGTTAATGATGATTTTAGGAAAGCGTAAAATACAAAAAAATAAAAGACACGGGCGATATATCCTGGTTCCCCTCACAGTCCGAGAGTACTCCAGTCCCCTTTCAACATGAAAGAGATTTCCTTATTGTGGCAAACTTAAACAAGAACTAACAAACAACCAAGAACAATCCTCTTGGACCAAAAACAATCCTCTTGGATTTTCACTAAGTTAGCTATGAGAACAATCCTCTCAATGTAACTACACTTGTATCCAACAACTTTGGAAAGACAAGATTTCAAACACACTTAAACTTATTTCCAACAATCCTGAAAAAATAAGTAAGTAATTATCAATTTTTGAGTATGAGTGAGTAGAGTAATATTGATCACTTAGAGTGATTTAACAATGTATGATCTTCTCTTCCAATAATATTATTGTACAATAACTCAAGATATAATTGCTCAAAGTTTTCTGTTTGTTAATGTATGAAAATGTGCAGAAAACTTATGCATGAAAGTGAAGGAATGCTTGAGTTTGTATTTTGAAATTTCAGAAAATATTTATGGAAGAGGTGTTGAAATAGATTTTTAAATTGAATATTTATATGTTCATAACACCCTTTTGAAACATCATGAAGTTCTGGAAATGTATCATGAACAAATGTCAAGTTTGAGTGAAAAGTTTCAATAAAAAGGCATGATGAACAGACATGTGAAAAGCTGCTGCTTTTCAAAATCGTGCAGCATACAATCAATTGCACCCTTTGTGTAAATCGATTGCACAAAGTTCCAACAACTATTTTTTCAAAACTTTTAAGAGTGCAATCGATTGCACTAGCAATGCAAATCGATTGCATGCAAAGTCGGTAGCAAAAAGTAAGTGAGTGTAATCGATTGCACTAGCAATGTAAATCGATTGCACTGAGAAACAGAAACAAATGTTTTGAAAATTTTAAGTATGCAATCGATTGCACAGAGAAACAGAAGCAAAAGATCTAAAAGTTTGAAGTGTGCAATCGATTGCACTAAAATGCCAATCGATTGCATACAAAAGAAAAATGAAATTTTAACTTTGAAAACTTGAGTAATGATTCTTAAACATTTCTTTTTCATTTTTGAGCATCTATATCTTAAGATCAAAGTAGATAATATTATTATACCTTTAAAGTTGTTGAGAGCTTTGAACTGAAGATATTATCCTTAGATGCTTTGAGCTTGATCATAAATCTTTGCCTTCTTTGTTAGCCATGGTTTGTGTTCATCAAAACAAAAGCTCATTTTAGAAGCTTGATTTTAGTACCATAGTTTTGAGATTGACAAATTTTGCCTAAAACATAGTTCTGACTAGATGTCGAACAGGATGTCATGACATTGTGTTTTGTTATACAGCAGTAAAGGCGTTGTTGTTTTTAAATCTTGACAGATTGAATTTGATTTTGTTATATTTTCTTTGGATTTGATTGACAATGAAGGGAAGATACAGTTCACCAAGCTTGAATTGAAGATGAATGACGATTTAAAAGTTACGTAGAGTACATTTTACCATTACTCAACAAAGAGTCTGATTGAAGTGGATGTGACGATTGTAAGATCGACCGAATATATTCTAAGAATGTAGCAATGTCTTGAACCATTTGTTTGTAATGAAATGTAATGTTATATTTATGTTAACCATTATCTATATAATGTTGAGTGTTTTTATGTTAATTTATGTTGTTTTTCTAACATTGTGCCATTGTTTATGGTTTAACCTAACATAGAATATTCAGGAGATACATCTCAGAAAACCTCATAGAATATTAAAGAAAGGATTGTTATAGAGATGTGTCTCCAGACTCAGTTATATTGATACGGAGTTGTATCTTTGAACTAATTTTTTTAATAAAATAAGAGTATCGACAATTAAAACTAATGTGTATATGAAAAGAGTGCATCCGAAAATGGATATCCAAATTTTATAGACAGTTGTGAGTTTTCATTGTGTCGTGGAAGCATTCTATAAAATGGGATGAGTAACTCGTTTCTTAAAACTCATCTATATAACTGGGAACAAAATGCTTATTAATCCAATAATGTTTGACCTTTTAACTCATAGCGACTCAGAACCAAAGAGAAAATTTTGTAGTATTACTCTCACTCTTTATTATTGGTAAAATATTTAAATATCTCAATTAATATAGTTGTATAAGAGTGTTCTAACTTTATCATGTTGTATTCCCAATAATGCATCGAAGGAAGAATATATATATATATATATATATATAAAAAGTAAATATCAAAAAGAAATAAAATGGTGAAGGGTCTTCAAAAATAACTACAACTTTCGGGTAAGCTTTTGGTGACTTTTTAATGCTGCATAATCACCGTAACTGTCTCTTTCTCTCTCATGTTTTTGCAAACCCTATTTACACTAAAGTTACCGTAACTTTCCCTCAATAAAATTACTCAATCAAATTCCCTTATCCTCATTGTCACATTTGACTTATTTCTCTTAGATGAGATTATCTAACTCCTCCTCGCAAGACCCCTCTCTATTCATAGGAAATGAGAATGAATTATTTTCATGAGTGATGTAGAAATTAGTTTACACTTACACCTAATATGAACACTTCAACTTTTCCTGACCAATAATTTTGAAATACAAAGAGAAAATATGCGTAATGCGGCACGGTAATAATATGTATTTTTGTAAGATGCCCGTATAAAATTAATTTACATTTTAAAATGCATATACCTTTTACACCTTTAGTATATTATAAGAATCCTTGTAACTCTGCTCTTACACATTTTCTTGGCTGACTGTGCAAGTCTCAAGGTCAACAATTTAACTTCAAGACCTTGGAATTGTTTTGAACTAGCAAGGTTACCAAGCATCACAAACCATGGAAGAGCTTTGAACAGAATAAACCCAAATGAGAATCATACTCAAATTCAAATAAACTAAACTTTCCCAACCAAAAAGAAAATAGAACAAAACTTTAGCACTATTTCCTACTTTAGAAGTACAACTATTTCTCTTTTGACAAAATTTGAGTGAAACTACGAAATAACTCAATTCACAATAGAAAATGATAAATAAAAAGGAAGATTAGTAACACAGTATTCTGATCATCACTAGATTGACTGGTTTCTTTGTCTTCAAGAAAGGTCCACTATCGATAAAAAGATCCCAAAATATAAAGCATGACTGCTGATGATGCGGTGATTATCAACTCCTGCAAATACAACAAAGGTCGTCATAGTCCCCTAACCACTTAATCAGCTATCCCAGTACAAAAGTATATCATACTTAAATGGCAACTAAACAGCTTCAATTGTATTAAAAAGCAATACTCATGTGACCAAGACACAGTTTTAAAGCATGAACAAAATTCCTCACTTCTTTGCCACAAAGGAAAGTGAGGAATAAAATGGCATTTGATAAGAAAATCTACATAAACTGTTCCTAAGAAAAATAAACTGCAGGACATGCGTCATACTATTCGCATGGTTTCTGAACAATTATATCTTATATTTTGTTAGTAGCAAGGAAGGACTGAACTGATCTATACCTGACTGTTGTAAAGAATAGATGGAATATAACCACTTGCAGACTCAATTATGTTTAAACCCACAGTGAATGCCTGCAAGAAATGTACGAGAAAGTATTAATAGTTATTTGGAATATTAATTTTTGAGGAGTAATAATGTGTGGGGTAAAAAGAAAATAGAAAACTTCAGACGTATTTGACTATAATGAATTTTGAGACAAACAAAATAACTGAATAACATACCGAAAATATATTTTCACTTAAAATCTAAACTACATCATATAAATTATTTTGGGCATCATGAATCTGATGAATCATCATACCACGGATGAAACAGCTACACATCCAAAAACCAAGGCCAGTGATCTGAGCAGTCTCTTGCCCATGCGCAGTCCTTCTCCTGGATCTTCACCATCTTCCTGTAGCCAACATTTTCATGATTTATGAACGATACAATTTTATTGAAAATTCAACATGGTTAAAAAAATAGAAAAATTAATGATTTTATTGAATAGGTTGTCATAGAATGTGAAACTCACATTAATTGTGGAGCTTTTAGGAGATTCAAAGGATTTTAACTTCTCAAAAAGCCTATAAACAAAAGCAAAGGCTAAAAACTGCAAAGGTTTATATTCAGCACTGCGAGTGACCACGATCCAAGCTGTCTGCAGAAAGATGGTAAAAAAATCTGATTAATACTACATCATAAGACGTAAGGCCAATATGGTTTCTGAGTAAGTGAGCATTAATATTTTTCAAAAATTTAAATGAATGAAATCAACCATCATTTATTACTCACAAAAGCAGCAGATATTGCCAAGTTGATGCGGATATCACTTTCACTAGATTTAGCAAACCTGAAATTGCATTGAAGTATATATATTGTCAAAAAAATCCAACTAGGCAATAATAAAAAGACACTGCAATGTGATGCAGGGAGAAAATTAACTTGAAGGAAATGTAGAATGTGGTGAAATTGACACTGAAAAGGAATGTCAGTTATACATACATAGAGGAAAAATGAGATTTTCCTTCCAAACTGTTGTTTCCATATGTAGGTGGAAATAAACTAATCTAAAAATAAATGATTCCTGGCATCTGTATTTCTTAAGTTAGAGAAGGGATACCATCATCTTCTCTAAGTAATACAAGAGTAATTGGATCATATCAGGGATGAAAAAGAATTCCTATTTAACATGATTCAACCATAAAGTAATACAGCAACACTGCAGCGGAATTATCATGTCATTAACCAAGAGAAGCAATAACAAACCTTGGTCCCCAAGGTATAATTGGTTGCTTGTCAGCATACTTTATGTCCTTTGAAACCTGCATTTTGCTTAAAAAATATGTAAGATTTTGAGAATCAAACAAATAAAAAGTTAGGGTGAACTATTGGCAGGAAATGGGAAGTGGGCACAATACAACCTACATGAAGTGAATCAATTAATTCTTTTTCATAAAGTTATCCCCTCCAAAGGTAGTTGTTTATTTTTCAACATCTACTACCCATGCTAAACATGAAGGAATTGCATAGCAGAGGCAAAAACATGCTTGTGTAGGTAAACTGTGCATATAATGATTCTATGACTAAGAATAATGATGAATGATAATCTTGGAAGTTAATTCATTGAAATGAAAAGTTTCAAGAATTCAAGATCATAAGACATTAATTCCCCCTAATTCTTCGCATATGTGATTTGTAGCAACTTGTATTCATTTTGAGTTGGAAAAAAAAGTCAGAATAGAAGTTCTGCAAATCGTAGCTGCTTCATCAAAGGAAGTACATAAATGTAGCATGCAGTAAATACATACAGAACTAAATTAACAAAGCAGTTTCAATCTCCAAAACAAACCAAACAAGAAGTATCGCTGTGCCGTCATATCTTCATACTTTGCGTGCAATTTCACTCTGAAAAATAATGAATCAGCTACTTTACCTTAAATGATCCAAAAGTGAGACCTTTTTTCCGATTACTCAATTGAGACATCATAACTTTGTCATATGCCTTTTCTAGCTGGACCATACATTCACAAAAGCCCATGTGTTAGTGCATTAAACCTTAAGTAAAAACATATAACACTATGGATGTTTAACAACCTCGTAAAATATTGAAATAACTAAAAGCATTATAGGACACATCAGTAGAAAGTCATTAAAGGTCTACTAGACTCTAGAGGATAACAAAGTGTGAACTTTAACTTGGACAGCATGGATTAGAAATAAAGACTAGAGAGTACAGACCTTAAGGCTCTGTATGAGACTAGGGAAGGCTTTGGGGGGAATGAAATAGAGAAAATTAGAGAAATCTTTCACCTTTTTTAAGAGAGTGTATTGTTACAGTATAATAAATAAATGTTTATATTAATTTATTTTAACATTGAGAGTACTATAGCAATATAAATTAGATTGGGAGAATTTATCCAAACCCTCCAAAATCTTCCTCCAATTTTTGAACCCTCCCAAATTATGGGGATTTAGCATATTATGAAGAAAAATGACCCACTCCCAAAGCCCCCCATTATTTCCACTCCATTCTTCCTTTTTTTTTCAAAGCCATCTTATCCCTTCCTAAACTCCCAAACAGACCCTAACTATACTTTTCCCAAACATTTACACAATTATTCAGTCTCACCCATTACAAAATTGAAAAACTAGCAGCCACATCAGTAATGACACCACAAGTTTTTCCTTAATGATAGAGGAAAATACTACTCATCAATGCACAAAATAAATTTGTAACTATACTCTCTGTGACTGTGTATTTCAAGGAGTAAAATAATAAAATCTAACATATAGAAAACAGTTAACTTACTCTAGAAGCAGTTTCTTCATCACCATTGTTCTCAGCCTCCTTCTTTTTTTTAGTATACGCTGCTTTGATGGTGTCAAACTTCTCAATAGGGCTTACACCTAGAACCTATATAACATAATGAAGAACACAATGTATGCATACAAGAACAGTAACCAATTTTACACGAACAGGATGATAATGAAGTAAATTTTACCTCGTAAGGATTTACTTCGCTGTTAGGATTAGAACTTCCTGCAGCAGATGCAGAAGCACAGATGATTTTTCTAGGAAACCTGCAAATTGAAACCGAATTTCACTTCAGGATAAGAAATTAATCTTGAAGGTGGAAGAAGAAGGAGAAAAATGAAGTGAATTTGTGAGGAGAACCTGAGAGAGGTTGAAAATTGGGGACGGAAATGGTTGCGAGAGGAATTCAATTTAGGGCAGTGCAGTATGTTTGAGATTGTCAAAGCCATCGGACTATGGTGTCGCCGTCGCTGTCGCCGTCGCCGTCGCCGTCGCTGTGAAAGAGTTGTTGTTATGTGTGCTTTGTAGGGTTTAAGTCTCTATCTTCTTCTTTGTAGAGAAGAAAACTGTAAATAGACTCCAATTTCCCACTCGGACGGTTGATTCGTGTTCGTGAACGGACAAAAATTTAGATATGTACTACTATGTTATATGAAAAATTGATTTTTTTAAATAACTTATTATGTTAAATTGATTTAAATTAAAGATAAGTTAAATGTAAGATGAGTCATGTTTGAATGCACTCACTCTATAGTTAGCCTCGTATTAAAGTCCGTTTTCATCTTAATTGTTGGAATTCATTTGATATTTTTATATTCATTTGATATTTTTATATATAGAGCGTCGTCGCATTTATTTGAGTAGTTTTAATTGTTATTCTTATATAAGTGTAATCTCATGTCACACTAAGATACAATTCATTACACTCCTGCAAGTTTCTCCTCTTTAACTTTATTAATTTAGGCATTGGAGTGTTAAATTTGTATGTACATCTCCCTTTTGTCCATCGGAGACCTCCATCATCGTGTTAGAGACTTCTACAGTGGACTTCATCAACCTATTGTTAATTTTCTTTTCCATTTTAGAATAATGTCGCCATATGTAAGATTTATCTCTTGATTCTCATGAAATCTCACGTCGAGCCTTTGTGAATTTCTCTATTACAACGCCGCAACCATTTATGTTAGTCGGCTCATTTCTTGTTAACCTTTATAATCGCCAGCAATGACAACTTCCAAAACCACTCGATCTGCGACTCTCAATGACACCACCTCTCCACTAGACACCATTGCAATGGTTCTCACCTTCACATCTAGAGAGTCATTTCTCCCATATGAAGTAGAAGTTTCAATTTCAATAAATTCTCTAATCAATGTGTCTCGCCAGAATGAAGTTTTTTTTACCGTGATTAACGTCGTCCCTTCTCAAATTACCCTAAATGCTTAGGACTTACTCCAAGCTTTTTAAATAATATGTTGTAGTCTAAGTGTGTCTCACGTTTTTATAGTGTTCATTTATTTTTACCAGATGGAGATTCTACAAAGTAACGGTTGGGTGACGTTGCACCCTCTACTAGGGGTGTCTGCTAAAACCCTTCACGATCCCTACAAGGACTGAAAATAAAAGTTTGTGTGGGTGAAAGGGCAGAGTGGGGCCTCTCTAGTCAATACGAGGGCGGGGGTGACCCCTACTTTCCCTTATCTTAGACATTGCACCCACGACTTACCCAAATGGTGGATCCGGGAGGTTTTTGCCTCTTAAACGTGAAGTAATCTAGATATTGAGGTGTTTTTCTCCCCTGGGGTCTAGTGTTCTCATCATTCGGGATCGCAAGGATGGCGACAGAGTGGGGTTGTACTTATGTATGAAAAGAACCAATTTTTTTTACCCGATTCTAGGTATATTATTTTTATATTCCCTAACATCACTTTTCTCTTAGAGGGGACATGGTAAAGATCCCTCTCCATGAGAAAAGAGAGTGTTTGGCGAGAATGCAGATGGCTCAGTGGTGGGCACAACAGATGTTGCCTCCTCCTTGGGATAAGGAATCGAGGTAGTGTGAAATTTCAAAAATCGCTAAGGCTCATCCCTATCAGACACTACAAAGGGAAGATGACCCATATGGGTCACCTATGGACCGTGAGGCGAAACAAAGGGATGAGAGAGCAAGATATGAACCCACCCCTCTTGAGCCTTCCTTATGGAACAATGCATTTAATGTCATGTTTTCTAACTGTCATTTATCTTTCCCTATGAATTTCTCGGGTGACTATCAGTCACTTCTTGGTATGTCCTTCCCCGAGCTATATGATATGTTGGAGGTCCAACTTTTGAGGTGCCTACTGATGGAGAAAGCACAGTGAGATTGAGAGAGAAGGATGCACGGGTTGTTTGAGAGTTATCGTCTCAGATGGCCCACATGAAAAGGAATCTTCTTGAAAATGGGGAGACAATGAAGTTGTTGAGGAAAAGTTGGGATGCCACTAAGGTGCTTACTTGGAAAATGGTTGATGTGAGAGTCTCCCAATTTGAAGAGGTGTGACGCTTAAAGAGCTTACTCAAGAGGCCGTGAAGTATTGCAGATGATATAGAAGAGAAGGTCTCGCTTCTTATGGATGAAGTCGTGGTGACCTCCGCCCGTCTGATTGCGACTTCAAGAGTCTATCGGATTTACTGACTGCAAGTGCACAATCTAATCGCGTAGTTTTAAAAGATATTGAATCCACAGGGACTGATAATCAAATTAATGATATCTAATGTTACTATGTAAATCTAAGGCTAATGATTAATCTTGGGTTTTGAGGAAAACGGGAAATAGATTCAAATTTAATAAAAATATTTAATGACGGGACTCTGGTATGCAACTCGTCAAACTTTGGGATATTCGATAAATCGTTGGCGTGGTTTTAAAAGTGAAAATATTTCTCAGTAGAAAATACTGGCTTAAAAGCCTTTATCTCACACTCTCGTGTTATTGACTCTGACTATACTCCTAAAACAAAATGCTTTGCTCTCGCTGTCTTATTTAAATTTAAAAGTAATTTTTGGAAACCAGTAAATTCTAATTAAGCCTAAAGTGCTCTCGTTGTATTTAGAATTAATGTCTAATTTCTACTATCTGATTAAAATCTCAAACTCTCACTTTATTGATTATAGCCTTTGTTTTCTTTTTACTCTCGTACAAAGCTTTTTAAATTAGAATTAGACCAGAAAAATAGTTTGTAAATGTTTACGCCTATAGATTTCTGAATCCCTTTCATTCGACTAATTTTACATACTGGTATCTAATTACTTAGTCAGACATGATCCTACACACTAACATGCAAGTACAATTAATATACATTAAACATAACACTATTTCAGAAAACATAACAATGTTAGAATGAAATTAAAATGATAATTAAAACTAAAACTGCAAGTGAAATAAAATCTGGAACAAAATTAACTTTGATTAAAATTTTGGAAAAATACTTCGTGTACAATGCTTGAACAAAATCCCAATTATGCCGACAGGATTAAAATACTTCGGTAGAGGAATTGAAAACAGAAAATAAATTCTATATCTAAGGTCACAATAGTCCCCCGATGTGGAAGATCTATCACTATTTACAATGAATTTAAATGCCTAAAAAGAAATCTAAGAATAAGCTTTGGATGCGGAAAAATTGACATACCCAATATTGTCAATTTCTCTTCCCTTTATAGTGTAACTTCCTTCTTAAAAATCTGGCCAATACGTGCATTTCAGAGACGGCTACGTTGAACGAGAAAAGCGGATGCAAAGAGAATATAGGAGAAACTGTCAAAAATTAGTTTCGTGGAAGTTGCCACATGCTAGTGGCAGGCGCCACTAATATAAGTGTCAGGTGCCACCTCTTGAAATGTGGCAAGAGCCACACATAGTGGCAAGCGCCACTTCTAGGTGGGCCTTTATAATTTTGTTTTTGATTTTTTAAATACTTCGCCCCTTCTTTGCTCTTTTATCACCTTTCTTGACTTTATTTATTTAGTTTCTTCTTTTTTTAGTCAAATCTCCAATTTACTCGATATACCTGAAATAAAATAATAATACCGACATAACAAGATATAAATAAAGGAAAAATAAACTAAAAATTCATGCGAGTCAAGTTAAATATACGATATAATTTTGTGTTATCAAACTCCCCTACACTTGAACCTTTGCTTTTCCTCAAGCAAATAACTAGCATGATAATACAATTAAACACGGACTCGACACAAATACATGACAAAACTCAAATCATATGCGGTTGCAAGGCATTTTTGTTAAATGGATAGATACTCAGTGTCAATACTAAGGATGCCCTAATGACACGAAACCACAAAATGTAATAAAAAACTCCCACCTTATGCAAGTCTAAGTCATTCTATTATAACTCAATCTATTTCCTTTTGTTTTATTTCACCCATTTTCATTCGAGCATAGTCACATTAAGCCGTTTATTCGTGCATGCACATAGTAGGGGAAGTCGGTTAGTGATTATGATCCTTAAGCGCGGGGTTTTGGTGCATAAGTTTGGTAACCCCTTTTATTTACCCAATTCCAAGTTGTGGAGGATCGGACCATAGTCTGCCCTACCAAGTTCAGCACCAGATACCTTTGAACCAACTCACAACGGGTTTTTTTATTAAATATTTTTGTAAGTTCTGCAACTGTTGGATTAAGTGATTGGGTGAGGGTCAGCTAACTTAATAGGTGCATTCCCTATTTTTTATAAATTTATTAAGGCTTGTAATTTTTGAATTTTTGGGATCATTCACTTATATTTATCGACTCCCTATGTTGTTTGTGCTTAAGATGGTGTCGACTGCTAATATAAACTACTCGGGGCTACTTTAAAACCCAAACTTAAGGTCTCGGTATAATAGGTACTTGTAGCGGTGAAAATCGGAGATCAAGCTATTAATTAACTTGACTCGCAAAAAGCAAGAGTCGCCACCGCGCTTTATTATTTCCAAAAGGAAAAGGGAAAAGAGCGAAATAAAACCCTAAAATATGCAATGTATAATGATACTTAAAAGTAATGAAAATACAATGCGTTTTGAAAAGAGATCGAGAGTTCGGGGGTTGGTTATACAATGGGAAGGTATTAGCACCCAATGCATCTGCGGTACTCCGCAAGAACCTTTTGAAATATCTGTTTTTTGGTTAAAAATTGTTTGTTTGATTAAAATGGTTTGTTTGGTTAAAGATGGGTATGGACGATATTTTTGAAGATATGACGACCTAGTGTCGAAGTTTTGACTTAAAAGGGGTGAGTTTAAAAATTGAGTCTTTTGGGAAAATTATCTTAGGTTTAACAAAATAGTAAACAAACAAAAGATGAATGAGGGATTCGCGCAATCGTATGAGATATGTTCGATGACATGAAGTCAACAAATTTAATTCTTTTCCTTGGAGTTGATCATAAGCAAGTAGGTCTAGTAATCG